TACAATGACGATGAATACGGAGACGAAGAAGGAGCTGATTGAAGATATTGAGAAGTTCATAAATCATAAATGGGAAGGAGTATTACAGAAGAGTCGGGAGGGCTTGGAAGCGTGGGTATTTGTTGTATAGACCACTCAGTACAGGGAAGTCGAGTTTGGTTGCAGCCATGGCTAATTACTTGAAGTTTGATGTGTATGACTTGGACTTGAGAAAGGTACAATGCAATTCAGATCTGAGGAGGCTGTTGATCAGCACGACAGACCGGTCCATACTGGTGATCGAAGACATTGACTGCAATGTTGGGTTGCAGAATCGAGAGTTTGGGGATGGAACTTAAGATGATAAGATTACATTGTCCGGGTTACTTAACTTCATTGATGGATTGTGGTCGAGCTGTTGAAGATGGCGATGGTTGGATATTGGGGATGATAAGAGCTTATAGATTTTGATTTTTACTGAATTTAATGAAATGTTAGCTTGGATTGAAATTTTGATGTGGAGACATTTTATCGGTCTTCAGATCGACGATGTGCAGCCATGGACGACACGGGTTCTTATCATAGCCGTTGTCTTCCGTTGCGAGCTTCGCCTAACTGAACTGAACTTCACCGGACTTGGGATTGCCATCCGACTTGGGTGAAGCAATCTTGAGAGGTGAAGAGATCTTCGTCGTCCGACTTGGTCACGGGCGTTTACATAATGTGTCTCTGTGTAGAGAGAGAGATAGAGGACATTTAAGTCTTTTTATTTAAGTTATAAATTTTAATATATAATTTATGGGCAAAAAAGTAAAATCACACATTTCTGTTAGAAAACTAAACGGTGGTTACTGACAGGGGGTGTAGGTGGAATTATGAAACGTAGAGGGGGTGTAAGTGAAATATAAGCAAACGTGAGGGGGTGTAGGTGGAATTAACCCTCTTTTTTTTTATAAGTAAAATGAATTAAAGAGCGTTCAAAAGGGGAACGCGTCCCAAACTATACAAAGACAAAACGAAATCTATGAACTTAAAGAGCCCATGAAGTCAACAATCTCCTCAAGAGAGGAGTAATCTCTCCCCTGACCCCAACAAAAAAGGGTATAAAATTACAAATAATAGAAAATTTCAGCATCACAATAGAGGACTCCTTCCCATCAAAAGATCTACAATTCCGCTCTTTCCAAAGGCTCCACCAAATGCAAAAAGGGGTCACCCTCCAGAAGACTCTCACCTGAGCCCCCACCCATTGGCCCCTCCAAATATCCAACAACTCCCGAGAGGTCCGAGGCATGACCCAATTTAATGGAGGAATCACTGAAGGAAAATCTTTCAGTAATTGATGTTGTTTCCTATTATTGAAGATTTGGTGTTACTAGAGGAACCAGTGGAGAAAAATCCTCCTTATTTCCTATTTTCTAATTCTTTCTATTCTCATAATTTCTTCTCCTATATAAAGGAGTCTCTACCATTGTATTGTGTACGAGTTGAAAGAGTATTAAAAAAGTGATGTAGCCCTTTGGGCTCTTTGTGCCGTGGATGTAGGCCCTAATGGCTGAATGATGTAATATCTGTATGTTCTACTGGTTTTATTTATCTCTTCGCTTCCGTTTTATGCTTTTCAACATGGTATCAGAACCTAATTTCTCTTCCTAGGTTCGGACCCCTATTTTAGGTATTCCCTTAGCATTTGAAATGTTGCTAAGGGTTTTTCGGTACTATTTGTGACTTGTTTGAGCTGCCTGTTTGTTCGGCAATAATGTTCTTCACCTTTGCCATGTCTCCGGCAGTTTTTATTGACTTGTTTGGGCTACCAGTGTGTTCGGTAGCATTGTTTTCGTCTTTGTCATGTCTCCGGTAGTTTTTATCGACTTGTTTGCGCTGTCGGTGTGTTCGGTCGCATTGCCCTCACCTTTGCTGTGTCTCCAGCAATTTTTTATTGACTTGTTTGGACTGTCGGTGTGTTCGATAGCATTATTTTTCGTCTTCTCTCTTCTCTTTTCATCATTCACACTTCTTGTTACTCGTCATCTCAATGGCAAGTTGGGATTTCATGCTCCAACTTGAGGGGGAGTATTGAAGATTTAATGGAGGAATCAGAGGAGGAAAATCTTTCAGTAATTGTTGTTTCCTATTATTGAAGATTTGGTGTTGCTAGAGGAATCACTGGAGAAAAATCCTCCTTATTTACTATTTTCTAATTCTTTCCATTCTCATAATTTCTTCTCCCATATAAAGGAGTCTCCACCATTGTATTGTATATGAGTTGAGAGAGTATTATAAAAGTGATGTAAGCCCTAGTGGTTGAACCACGTAATATCTGTGTGTTCTAGTAGTTTTATTTATCTCTCCGCTTCCGTTTTATACTTTTCAACAGCTATCATGCCACTCTTCACCTTATCAAAGTCATCCTATGGATGATGACTCTCCACTCTCTAGTTGACAATTGGGCTGGCTCCAAAAGACACAAAGTCCCTCATGAATGTGACACATCGCAAGTTTCTGCAAAACTCCAAAACAAACCAAAGGTTGAATGCACCCAGTTCTGGCACCTCAGACTACAATAACAGTTAATGTTAACTCCACCACCATGCACCTGTATGGTCAAACTTGCATCTAAATGGCCGTATAGTTGGCTCTCCTAATCAACCTCCACCAAGCACTCTATGCATAGACAACTGCATGATGTATTGTCCCCCACAATGGGCACTTCTCCAACTGTGAAACTGCCACTGCACATACTCTTTATGAAAGTATCTCCAAGAGATTCAACTATGCTCTTCTCTAGTCGTGCAATTTGTATTCTCTACAGAAAAACCTTTCTTCTTTACAGATATATATATCCCCATGAAATCAACCATGCACCAAATAGCGAACGCGAAAATAGCATACAGAACCAATACATTACAGATATGCCAACATATCAAATCCTGAAAAATGGGATATAGATACGAAGTGAATTTGTGACGCAAATAAAGAATGGAGTCTTGAAAAGTATCTTGTTGTTTAATGAGGTCAAAGTTCATCCTTGTTTCTATAAAAAGCATTAAGGTTTGGAACTACCAAGTGTTAGCTTAGGAAAGTTGTGCAACCCTCTTTTGTCTTTTGTAACACATCTTAATCATTATAGTTTGAGATAGTATCAGATTATTACGTTCCCTTCAGGCATTTTCCATATTTCCCTTCATAAATCTAGGATCCAACAGTGATTGGGGTAATTCTTGTCAATCTTACTGCTTCAAGAGAACTTTCTTTTAACTCTGTTTGCTTCAAGTCAGAGCCTTTCCAGTAAGATCTGTGAAGACTGTGATTATTGGAGATCTATGGCTAGGCAAGGAAGCAAGATAGCCACAAAAGAAGACACTGTGAATCTGCAACATAAAATTTCTTGATTGAGCACTATATCAGATCACTATGGAATGATTTCTCCTTTTGATCTGGACATTAGGAGACAAAGGGATAAGCAGGAGACCCATATCAACGTGAAAGTTAAACAGAATATTGTAGTAGAGAAAAAATTCAACAGCATAAGAAACAGGGTGTTGCCACATCAGTTAAACAGTCACAAAGCACTTGGGCAGCAATGGTGAAGCATACTAAAGAGTCTGAATTTTGGTACACGCACACAAGGAGTTGAGATGCAAGTCTGCCAAGAGTTCAATAGTTTTAGATAATTGCAGTATCATTGCAAAACAACTCATCATGAGAAAGATGTAAGAAATTATGTTGGTTTCGTGGTTGCCACATCAGCTTAGGATAAATTCCCTGGGTGGGTAGATGAACAAGGTGATAAATTGAAGGAAAATTCAACTTTATCATTTCCAGAATTTGACAACAATTAGGAGGAATATGAAGAAAAAAGTAAGGTGGAAGAGAAGTCTGAAGAACCAGCCAACAACTTGTCAAAAGATGAGGCAGACGTCATTATTATGTCTGAATATCATGGATTTGAAAGGAGAAACTGGGAACCATTGAAGAAATTGAAACAAATATGTCACGTTGATTCCCGAGTTGTAGAAATTTCTGAGCTTCTATTGGTTGATAAACAAATAGGTGGAAATTTTGAAGATACGAAAGTTGAATTTCCAAGGGTAAGTGGTTCACTAGATAACACATCAGATGTAGTTTACTTGAAAATTATGGATAGAAATAAAGCTTCTTTGTTCATTAACTTACAAATCATAAATTCCATATTCGTGATCTGATTTGGGATGAGTTGATGACGTAAAATATAGCTAGGAGTTATTCCAATGCAAAACCAAGATTAACTTAGGGTCTTGGTTCATTATTTGTATTCAAGCAAGTTCCGGAGATCTACTAAATTTCAAAAGAGAGCTCTGAAAGTTTATGCAAAGCTATTTTTAATCAGTAACAGTAGCCTAGTGTGTTTTGTTCAAGCACGTAAAAGAAGAAACCAAGGATGGAAGGCCATGATTGGGTTTTTAATAGATTGTGGTATACTGTTTCAAACATGAGGTTTCTTCAAGGAGGGATTGATGCAAATAAAGAATGGTTCCTTAAAAAAATGTCACTCCAGTAGAAATCGAGAATCATTAGAAGATATATTATAAAGGGACATCCCTCCTTATCTGCCCTAAGAAGTCTTAATAAAAAAAATTTAAAAAAAGGGTATTTTAATTTTTTGATGATAAGGACATGAATAAGTAAGAAAAACTATCCTGATTGGGTGTTTAACACTTGATAACGTTATGCTGATCAGCCAACTCGAACGAATGTATTATTCATAGCCATATTATTTATTTCTTTGTTAAGTTCACATGATTCATATGAAGAAATTATGCAACAGACGGTAAAAAACCACACATATGAGTGGTTGTTCATCTCACTAAAAAGACTATAAAAACCACAGTGAGAGAATAGAAATTGTAATCAAGAAAGGGATACATCAGAAACCAAGACAAAATCACATCATAATCTACATGTGCGTGTGTGAGATTTAAATCAATCAGTGATATATGTGTGTGTGTATATATATGAGAGAATGTTTAAGCAACACTTACTGATGAGTTTTGTGAGAACGGGAGAAAGCAGAGGAGGGACGTGGAGGAGGGGACGCAGACGAAGGAGAAGGGGCTTGAATTCGAACGTTCATCGACTGATTCATTTCCAATTTTTCCAATCCAACCCACAACTCCTCCAATTGAGTGCAGGGAGTGAGAATGAGCCTTCTACAGCTAGAGCTAGACACTTGACTGACTCACTTTACTTTGCCCTAAGCAGACCAACAACGTCGTAATATCGTTTTCATTTTTTTTCCCCCTAAGCACCGTCGGGTCAGTTCAAGTACCCCATTTATGTCTTGCTTCCTTCCTTACTGAACTCGCTCGTCCTTACAACGCGCCACGTGTCCAACAAATTATCCTATCACATTCCATGAAACATAAAATTATTACCTTTCAAAAAAACATAAAATTATGATGGGCTCTCAAAAATATATATATATATATACCAATCCAGACTGTCCAGTCAAAAGTATATCCACTCAAATGTTTGAATTTTTAAAATTTTTGTGGGTTAGATTAGTACTCACAGGCACCTCGACAGAATGTCCATGGGGTTGGAATTCCTCACCTCCATTAAAAAAAATAGATTATTTTTTAATAGATTACAACAGTTGAGCCAATGACCCAATGGTGGTTAAAATATCTTGAATTGTCCATGTAACTATTAATAAAATCGTTTATTTTGTTTGATTTTGTCGGGCAGAATTGGAGATGCTTAGACAGAGGACATATTTAGGAGGGTTCTTAATCGATCTTGAATCTTGAAAATAAAATTTATAATTTGATCAGACTTGTTTGAAAATAAAATTTGTCAAATTATAAATTTATATCTCATAATCTCTCTATTTGGCAATTTCATGACAAAACATACTAAAAATAATTAGACTTGGATCTTCATTACTCGGTCTCACGGAATGTCATCTTTTAAAGTTCAAAATCTCTAGTCTTGATTGATTTTACAATTAAAGCCCTGAAATAAATAAAAATAATAAAACAATGTAAAATTACAAATAAACTACTATTAAGAGAATAAAAGATGCAAGTAAATGGGCTAAAATGTATAACATTCAGCACCTAACACAAGTAAATACACCATGTCAAAAAAGACTAAAAAAGAGATCCAAAATTATAACTACAATCATCAAAAAAATTAGTTACTCATAAATCAATCATCATCCTCTGAAGCATCAGTCCCATCATCACCAAGACCAACATCATCATTTTCTCACATAAAGCTCTAGAGGCATAGGGATGTACACGTCATCCATAGAAGGAACACTGGAATGTTGATCTTGCATAGAGAGAACGACGAGCTCTGATCACAATTGGAGCGCAAAATGGAGGCTCATCCTCCACCACTGCCAGCAGATCAAGCGGCGGTGAACGAGGTAGATCCTCAGAATGATCGAGTTGGATTTGTGCACCTTGACCCCTATTAAAAGAAGTTTGGTGGCGAGATAAAGGACCAAGCGATCGAGCAAGAAGGCACCAACAAGACAATTGCTCAAAGGTTGGACACACCCCAGGTGTTCGAAGAAATGTCCAAAGCAAATATCCGAACACAAGTTCAACGGGAGGTGGGAGAACGACTTAAGGACCTAAAGGCACAGACACCGCCAACATGGTTGTAAAGGCCTCCGTTGACATGTTCAATTCACCTTTTACTAGGGAGATATTGAAACGTCACAAATCGAAAAAGTTCATCATTCCATCATTCGCATCATTTGACGGGTCAAGGGATCCGATGGATCACGTTTACCATATTCAGCTGAAGATGGCCTTGCATAATGATGACGATGCCCTAATGTACCGAGTGTTCCCAACGAGCCTTACCGAGCCAGCTCTCAAGTGGTTCAAGCACCTATCGAAAAGAACTATTGGAAGTTTTTGCCAATTATGCGAAGTGTTCATGGCGCAATACTTCGGCAATCAGCAAATTTAAAAGAGCGTATCGAACCTATTTACTATGAAACAACAGAGAGGAGAAAGGCTGCAAGCGTTCCTCATTAGATTTATCCTCGAGCTGAGCATAGTGGATGAATGTGATCAGAGAGCGGCAGTTAAAGCTTTCAAGCTAGCCCTCATTCTCAGAACTATCTTCCATTGCGCATTAGTGCGCAAGACCCCAAAGAATATAGGCGACTTCGATGCTGAAGCACAAGGCGACATACAAATGGAAGAGGAGAAGGATATGCGAATACATAGGGCTACCATAGTCACCATTGAGGGTCATTCACGTGACAAGATGAAGGGGCGAAAATTGCCGAGTCAGATGCTACAAGCCCCATGGAAGCCACCCAAGCTCCAAAGGGAGGAAGAGGTCATCACACCCCTCAGGACTTCCTTGGTCAAACTCTACCAAGAAAACAAAGCTAGGTTCTTACCGCCACAACCGATCGAGCAAAGAGATCAATCCAAGCATTGTGCCTTCCATTGTGATTTTGGACATCAAGCCAATGAATGCAGAAATCTTACAAGACAGGTGGAAACGATGATAGCCAGGGGAGAGTTATCAAGCTATATATTACCCAAGGGATAGCATAACCCTGCCCAAACAGTGAGGCAGAGTATACAAGGAAGAACGAATGACAGGACAAACCCCCAAGAGGCTCAACCTTTGAAAGTTACAAACGTCATTCATGGGCGTCCTGAAGAGGATGAGAAAACTGAGGAACTGCTTAGAAAACGCCCGAGGCAGGCGCAGAATTTAGGAAGAGGGAACAATGTCAGCACTATAAGAAGAATGAATGTGGACACCCAGATCAAGTTTCGAAGATTAGACCTCTAAAGGGTTCAAACTCTGCACGAGGATCTCTTCGTGATTAGTCTGATGGTGGCGAGTTTTTTGGTGAAACAGGTCCTCATCGACCTAAGAAGCAGTGCGAACATATTCACAAAGTCAACGTTCGAGCAACTAATGATTGATCCAAGGCAGGTTAAGCCTACCAGGAATCCGTTGGTGGGTTTCGATGGAAAAAGAGTCGAACCAATCCGAGTGTTAGAGTTGCTCGTCTACACAGTGCGAAGGAATCTCACGGAGAACTTTGTCATAGTGGATGCCCACCCCATGTACAAGCTACTGATGGGAATAGGGTGGATCCACCACATACAAGGAGTGCGATCCACTCTGTACTAACTAATCAGATGCCTTAGTCCGGATAGAAACAATGTGGTCGACATCCAAAGAGACCAGGTGGCAGCGAATGAGTGTTACGCAGTGACTATCTAATCCAAGGATAAGGGGAAGGGCATAGCCCAAAACCCAGAGCGACAAATAGCAATTATCATCTCCTCCGCTTACTCATATCCAGTTGGTAGTAGAGGCGGAGGAGCAACTCCTTACGGATAAGCAATTTGACGAACCTAAAAGAATAGTCAAGATTAGGTCCTTAAAATTTGAGGAAGAAAAGATCGAACTAACAATGATGCTCAACGCTAACCTAGATATTTTCTCCTAGAGTTACTTGGACATGCCAGGGGTACATCCCGAGGTAGCATGCCACAGTCTCAATGTTGATTCAAAATTTTACCCCCGTTCGTTAAAAGCAAAGAAGATTTGCCCCAAAGAGAAATCAGATCAAAGCTAAGGAGATTAACCTCATATAAGAGGAAAGATTCATAAGGGAAATACACTACCCACAATGGCTGTCGAGCATGGTGGTAGGTCAAAAGAAGAACAGGAAGTGGAGGGTATATATTCACTTCACTAACCTGAATAAAGCTTGTCCCAAAGACAGTTACCCTTAAGATAGACCAAATGGTAGATGCCACCACTAGGTTCAAGCGTTTGACGTTCTTAGACACATATTCAGGATACAACCAAATCCCTATAAACCCTAAAGATGAATAAAAGACCTTGTTCATCACAGAATGAGGAACCTACTACTACAAAGTTATGCCGTTTAAATTAAAAGACATTAAGGCAACTTACTAGTGCTTGATTAATAAGATATTTAACGATCAAATGGGCTGAACAGTTGAGGCCTACATTGACGATATGGTAGTTAAGAGTAAAATGAAGCAGGACCACATACGTGACCTGCAAGACATGTTCAATACTCTAAGGAAGCATGGCAGGAGGTTAACCCCCTCAAAATGTTCCTTTGGGGTTTCCTCAGGATAGTTCCTAGGCTACATAGTTAATTACAAAGGTATTGAGGCAAGCCCAACTAAGGCCAAGGACCTAGTGCAGAACAAGGAGCCCAAGTCTCTCAAGGATGTGCAGGTTTTTATAAGAAGAATAGCCGCATTGAGCAGATTCATATCACGTCGCTGATAAACATTGAATATTGCATATTCAAACACCCTTATTTGCATATTCTAGTCATTTATGTAGTTATAGTATGTTTTCTTTATGTGATTTTTGTATTTCTCTTTATTTTCAGGGTTTTATCTCCAAAAAGAATAAAAATAAAAAATTACGGGCTTTCAAATAATCAAATCATCTTGGACCTTATTATCAATGGAAATCTCAAGCTAGATGACCCAAAGATCATGGATAATCCCAAAAGAAGAATGAAGAATGCATTGAGTAAGCCCAAATATCAAGCACAGAAGGCAAAGTGGACTATGAAGAAGAGCTGCTACCAGTCGTTAATGCCAAGCATTAAGCTGGCTACCGGTCGTCGATTCATGACTTAGCCAGATTTTGTTGCACACAAATTCGAGTACTCTCGCAAAATCTAATGTAAAGACATAATCATCCATTCCATCACACATAGACATATGAATAAAATGAAAGATCAATTGGAAGAATTGATTCATACAAATCATGTAGGAACTTAAGATATATATAATTCATTTACAATATGAATTCCCAAAAAATAACAAAATACTATAGTTCAGGAGGAAAGCCTAGCGTTATCTCTAGCCCCAAGAGGATGATCTAGCCACTCATGGTTATTGTTATCCAACAGCCAAGTACTGTTATTTTCAATGTAAGCTCCATCTTCTTCCTCTTTGCTTTGCTCAAGAACCCTAATCTAGAGAGAGAAAATTATGTCTAAGCTATGTAAAAAATTGCTAAAAGTTGAGAACCCTAACAAAATGGTCCAATTTGATTTAAATATAAGCCTCTTTGTGGAAAATAGCATTTCATTGGTCTAATCCTGCAGCCAAAAGTTAGGTGGAATTTGGGCGCGCTGGGGAATTAAATAGCTCGTTGCCAGCAGGATTTCGATCGATCGAAAGGTACTTCAAAGGATCGAGATTATCTTTGATTGATCGTGAATAACGTGCCATGCTTATCTTGACAACTGGCAACCTGATCTGCTTAGTT